CCCCAAACTCTTAAGCAAAGTCCCCCCCTTCCAGCAGCCAGCACCTTGCTGAGGGGTCCCACCATGGACTGGAGCACCCCAGGGTGGTCCCTGCCCCAGGGTGTGGGGGTCTCAGCTCCTGGGGACAGGAGGATGTGGGTGATTTTGGAGGGGGTGAGCAGTGTGATGCTGGTTTGGGGACCCTCAGCCCTGCGCTTCACCCCACTCATGGGTCCCCACACCTGCTCCCCTGGTCCCTGGGAGGGGTCTATGGGTCCTACAGCACTTTGGGGACATGCAGAAGATGGGGTCAGGCTTCCCCAGGCCCTGACCGTGCTCCCCAAAACCTCTGCTCCTGCTGACCCGCGGGACACGGACCCTCCAGGCTGGTTTCCAGGCTGGGCTTTGCTGGTGGGAGGCTGGAGCTGGGCAGGGTGGTCACACGTTGTGTTGGACGTGGTGGTGTTGGGTGATCTCCAGCACGGATGGTCACCTATAGCTGTCGCTGTGGCACCAGCAAATACATCTCCAAGCCCAGATCCACTCCGGCCACTACCCCGGGTGGTGACCGGGTCCAGGAGAGCTGCGTGGGGCCACCGTGTCCTGCTGCACCAGTGCCCAGCACCCCAGGGTGGTCCTGGCCATCTCCGAGCTCCTGGGCAAGGCCACTGGGCTGCTTGTCCCTTGGTGTGGAGCCAGCCCTGGCCAGGGTGTTGTGTCATGAGTGGGTGGGCACCCATGTCTGTGGGCACCCGTGTGCGTGGGTGTCTGTGTGCATGGAGCACCCACACGTGCAGGCACCTCTGTGCGTCCATATGCGTGTTGTGCCCACGGGTGTCAGTGCACGTGGGTGCATGTGCACAGTGGCCATGTGGGTGGGTGTGTGCTTCTGTGGGTGTGTCCCTGTGCGTGGGTGACCATGTCCATGGGTGCTCACCCCTGTGAGTGGGTACTCGTGTGTGTGTCTGTCTGAGTGAACAAGCAGCCGCGTGCGTGGGTGTTCACACGTGTCAGCACCCATGTATGTGGTGGGTCTCCATGAGCGTGGGTGTCCATGCACATGGGAGCTTCTGTGGGTGGGTGTCTGTGTGTGTGGGTGCTCCTGTGGGTGGGTGTCCACATACATGAGTAGGTGTGTGCATACATGTTCATGTGCATACATGTTCGTGTGCATACATGTTCATGTGCACATGTGCATTGGCACCCATGTGTGTGGCGGGTGTCTCTCACCATGGGTGCTCCTGTGTATGGGTGCCCATGTACATGGGCAGGCATGTGCATACATGTTCGTGTGCATACATGTTCATGTGCACGTGTGCATTGGCACCCATGTGTGTGGCGGGTGTCTCTCAGCATGGGTGCTTGTGTGGGTGGGTGTCTGTGGATGCTCCTGTGGGTGGGTGTCCATGTGTATGGGCAGGCATGTGCGTACATGTTCATGTGCATACATGTTTGTGTGCATACGTGTTCATGTGCATGTGTGTGCATGTGCATTCATACCCATGTGCATGGTGGGTGTCTCTCAGCATTGGGTGCTCCTGTGGGGGGGTGCCAGT